TTATTTTAGCATCTGTTTTGCATGGTGGGAGCTATAGCTGCCTGGCTAAATTATAAACAAAGAGTGGGTGAGTGAGAGCAGCTTCCAGCTCATGCTATCAAAACCTACCTGCACACGGCAGGAGTTTAGTTTGCAAACTGATCTGCTAACAATAACACTGGAGGGAGAAGAGGAGCAACAGATCCTAGCCTAAATACCCTGCTCACCCATAATAAAGGATTTTTGTCCATACTTGTTCCTGTTGTTGTAACAAACAGGGAAAGAAATATTGCTGCCTCCTCGCAGTATTTCCTGATGCAGGAAAACACACACGCTTGTCTGTAAACGTGCCAGTGCTGCTTTTCATTGAGGGACCCTGCTGGCAGGCCTGAAGCTAGTTCTGGTTTATAACCCTGGTGAGGCTTGGGTGTCAGAGGGGCAGAGTGCACCTACCGCTTCTCACAGGAGCCATCCACTGTTCTTCGTCCAGACCACGAGCAGAGTCAAAGGAGAGCAACAGAGCCCTTGTGATTCACCTGAAATAGGAACAAATATTCAGTGAGGCTTGTCTAAGCCATGTTATGCCGTTAGTGTGCAGATCTCTGTTGAAGGCAGTGCTTTTGTGTCTCCTTACCTCACACCTAGGGTTTGCTGTATCTTACTGAAGATCTCAGGGAGATCATAGTGCCCTTCATGGTAGCTTTTACCTTGGTTCACCTTGTTACAGGAAATGATAAACACACAGCTCCTCCTGCAAAAAAGCTGTCAGTAAAGGATATTATATCCTAATGGAAATAGCAAAGGATAAGGTAGTGCCTCAGGGAACTACAGACTCAGAAATGGTGGTAAGTTTGCAGCAGTTGAGCTTCCACAGCCAACTTGGGTGCAATCTGTAGTTTGAAATGTGTTGTTCAGAGCATTTGTATATCGTGGTTCTGCACAATGATTCTGTTACAAATCATGTTATCTGGCTGCTAGGATAATTTTATTGCTTTCCATCTATAGATACCACACACAATTTGTACCTATGGATTTCTTCAGAGGCACATGCTCCGTTCTTTCTTTTTTATGAAATCTTAAATTTCTCCACAAAAATCTGCCTGTGCAGAATTTGCAGCCAGCATGGAGACCAGGTGCTACAAGTACAGTGGTCCACCTCTAGGTACTTTCTTTGCTTCCCTGGCCTCATCCTGCCTTAGAGATAGAAGATTGCAAGTGAGTCACCCAGACATGGTTTTCCTTGTTATCTGTTGCTTCTGGAGAAAGGATTTCAGGGTGCAGAGAGGAATTCTTGGATTCAACAATATATTTTTAACAGTCCTTACCAATGGCAGCTCAGCAGATCTGTTATCTAACGTCATACCTGGCTTAGCATGTAAAGTAACTTATTCTCCCTAAACTTTTATGTGCACAGAGAGAAAGTGAAACAGTTTTAAATCAGAATTCCTCGTTTAAATTTATGATAACACTGAAAATGGACTTTAAATAACTAGCAAAAGTGTGAAGGCAAGATGAGCTGGTGCCGAAGACAGTAGTACCTCTGTAGAGTACATGGTCTTTATGTTCCTTCCATGCTGGTACTACATTTGGCATTACTAGAGGAGACAGCATAAACCCACAGTTGAAAAAACATGAGTCCCCACTTAAAATAGGAATCACAGAGGTATAAAATAACACAATATTCCCCTTCCACAGAAGCCCTCCTCCCCAAAAATGTAATATAGGTGATGAGAAATATAACAGAAATGAGGCTAACAGGGGAACAGTAGCCAAATGTAGTCTTGTAAATGCTTTCTTGATATTTGCTCTGTCACCAAGTGCTGTATTGCACCACCCGAGAGATCCTCAGGACTGGGCAGAAGGAGAGATGCGGATTTTGAGGGGGGCATAATTTTAAAATCCTGCTTCACAAGTTCCATGGTTCTTTCCCCTCCATTTTTTTTGCCAATATTTTGGCATAAGATAGATTTAAAAAAAATCAGCTAATTATCATTATTGTTTCCAGATAACTTGCTTACTTTAACTATTGCAAAATTGTGGAAGTACCTTTAAGGGGATTTAGGTATGATTCTGTATGTAATAAATAGCCACAAATTAATGAAAAGTTATAAAGAAGAGTTAGAAAAAGAAGATAAAGGATATATGAATGCATTTGGGGAGATAAAATATCACTCATGTTTTGTGTATTTTCAGGAGGGCTATTCAGGGATATATATATAAGGAGGGATAAAACAATTGTTATGCAGAAATAGAAATTGCCATAAATACGTCTGGAAGTGATAACTGTTATTTGAGAGTCCACACTGTTACAGATGATCTAGGGGGAATGGGGGGAGCTCATACACGTGCTAGATGTGATGCCTATTTTAATTGCACTGATTCTCTATGTGAAGATTTACTTGAACAGAATTGACTTAAAAATCCAACCACTAGGAACATGGCCATCTTTTAAGTGGGTTTTGGTCAGAAGGTACATACATAAGGGCAATAACTTTACAGAATTGTAAACATGGTTTTACTAGTAACATCTGTTGCGCTTTCTTTCTCCTTGCCCCATAGTGGGCTATTCTGAGCTGACACCAAGGATATTGTCGCGAGTTAAAAGTTGCTCTCTGGAGACCGGGCTGTTCTGTGCTTACAGTCTCTTACCCTAAAAGTTCCCAGGAGAAGCGTTTGACATACTAACTCTTTGACAGAAGGACAAGGCCAAGATGACAGCTTGGGACGCCTATGTCCATCAGAAGTCTCAGTCTGTATCCCACTAGCAAAGGGTATTTAAAGATCAGACACATAAATAATAGCATTCACACACATTTGGTTACAATGCTTAATAGCCGTATCAGGAATCAGGAGAAAAAACAATGCATCCTTTATAGTATTTTTAAAGGAATTAAAACAGCTAGTTAGGACAACTTTTGCTTTTAGTCTTTTTGTTTGTTTGTTTTTAAACCTTGAGTGTAGTTATTGCCAAATTTACTATTCTAAAACAAAAAAAAATAAAAATAATAAAAAAAAAAGTTTCACTTTCCCATCTATTGCAAGTCCTGAAGGTTTTCCTTCTAAAAATGGTCCAGCCTGTTTCTTTTTATTTTAATGGTTTGATGCATAGGAAAAGGGTTAACTGCATAACTCAATCACACAATATCTTAGATTACAGATAGCCTGCAAGAAAAGGTTTTGCAGCGTGGTAATAACTATCACTGCATCGTGGGAACAGGCTGTGGCAGACAATGATGGAATTGACAATGGTGCATACAAAGGCCACCTTTGGGAGAAACCATATCTCACAGCATGCTGGGAAAAGTGAGAAATAGTAGCAGATGCTGTCAGGACTATAAGCAACAGATGCCTCCTGGCCAGCGTTCAGCCAGTACAACCAGATCACACCATTCATAAGCAGGGAACATTTTTTTTTCTCCCTCTCTTTGTAGGAGGGAGGTAGCAAATACAAATATTGCAGAGGAATTAAAAACAGCAGATGGTGGCAGCAGGATTTGATGAGATCAGGGTCAGGTATGGGTATACATTTGGTAGTGGCATTAATCATCCTTTCCCTTTGGGAACTGAAAGTTCAGGCCACTAACACAGCATTAAATTGACCACCTTCAGGTTATGTTTTACTTACCCAGTTACCCTCAATATCCCTTGTCATCCTCCCCCCCCCACTTCAACAGCATGGCCGCATAGCTCTCTCGTGTAATGCTCTAGTAGATTTAAGAGAGTTTAAAAGAACATATGTTCAATATTTGGTTAATTCAATTTGTGCTTAAATCATTAATAAGCCAGCCAATCCCGAACAGGAAACGTTAAAAGCCTCCTATTAAACCCACTGCATTATCTCTCTCTCTCTTGTGCCAAGCTGGTTGTTTTCACCTACAAACGCTCTCTGTTTATTATTGGCTTGAATATATTTGGTCACCTTTCATCTTCCATCTATTGCTCGAACATTTAGCTTATAGCTCCTGTTGTAAATGCTGCAAAGGAAATGAGGAGGTAAATAATACAGCTCCCTTGGAAAAACAAAGTTGGAAGTGTAAATGAGCTTTCTTGCATGTGTTGCTCTGTGCGTTGGGTTCAATACAGTCAGATCATTAAAGGAATGTAAATGAACAGTTTGTATCAGAAAGTGACACAGATTCCTTTTCAGAAGTTTGTTTCAGATTTTAGTTTTACTTTAAGAGCGGTTTGAACTCATTACAGGTCTCTGTGTGATGACTTGTCAAATCTCTGAGACAGTTTTGCAAAACCAGAATGCATTTTCTCCCAGCCATTGCTCTATTACTGGACTGTTGAGTAAACAGGATGGTGATGAAGGCGTAATCATTCTTCTGCCAGGGTTATGGGTTTATTTGGCAATTAGGAGAACACAGCCTAGTAATTAGACAATCTGTGTTCTAGCATTGTCTGTGAGGCTGGTTTCCTCACCTTAGGTAGGTGATATTTTTTCCATTGCTCCGTTTTCTCTGTTATGAAACAGAGATTTTCATTATACCTGCATCAAAGGAGAAGTGTGGATGGTTAAACAAATTATTCTTCATTTGCCCAGTGAGTTTGTGGAGTCTGAAAAACATGCCCAGTAGGCATGTTGTGTCAGATGCCAAAGTCTGACAGTTTGGTGGTTGTAATATGAAACTTTGACACATAAAATGTAAGTTCTGAAATTCAGGGTGCAGGAGAGGTGAGACCTGACTTCTCTTTACTCAATTTCTGTTTGGAAGCTCTGGTCCTAGGCTTGTGCTGTGAATTCTGGGAAGCAGCCCAGCATTGCTGCAGCACCCTGCCTTTTCAAGCCAGTGGACCTTTCTGGCCACCCAAAGCACTGATTCTCTAGAGACATAACAGAGAATCTGGCAAGAAGTTGTGGGTCAAATCAGGTCCTCCAATCAAAACACTAGATTTTACTTTATGCAATATTTGATATTAGATATTTGTTTTGTGAATGATAAACTTCTACACCTTTATTAGAGGTTTTTCCTTGAATTCTTACTGTAAAATTCAACCTAATTATCAGTGAATTAGGACTTGAAGCATCTTGTATCCATATGTTGGCGATAAACTGGAGATTAGGGAGGCACTATTTAATGTATTAATCTGTTGTATAAATACACTAGGTTGAGCAAAGATGAAGAAGATATTCTGTGGGCAACAGGCAAAGAAAATATTTCTAGGCTCTTCTGCATAAGTTTTCCTTCTCCCAGATTGCTATCTTCAGCATCATCAGATTTCTTTGCCTCTCAGTCTATGGACTGATCTTTCTCCTACCAAAGCCAGGTGACTCATCACCACTGAAATGGTAAGAAGACTGTGCTTTCGTTATCCAATATACTCTTCCATGGTAATTATTTAACAGAAATGGGGAAATTTGTGTGTTCAACAGCAGATTGCACTGGAGTTATATGTTACTTCCTACTTACTTTTTCACACCGAGGAATTCTCTCAGTCAAAAGGCTGCAGGTGTAAAAGGAATGGAAAGGCACAATTCTTTCTTTATGCTAAGTTATTTCACTTAACTCTGAGCCTGTTGTGACAACTAGGCAACTTAGTTTAACCTCCTGTTTATCAGAAATGACTACATTTTTCCCAGTTACCTCTCTTTCAAGCCTGGTTGAATGCACGCTTGCCTAAAGCATATCTTGTGCTTGGCTGATGCACATGTGGTTATCTGATGAAACTCTCAGCTCTGGGATATTAATAAATAAAATAAAGAAAAAACAATATTCATCTGTATAGATAAAAATATTACCCACATGAATTCCATCTATCTGGTCTTTGGTTAAGAATGATAAAGCTCTGCTGGGACATTAACATTCAAGGTATCTACAGTTACAAAACTGGGGGTTTTATGAGGCATTTTGTTGACCTTTTGTAGTCTCTGGCGTTGGCCACCGTATTTACTATACTAGCAAAGTCATGACAAACATATTTACTCTGTTACTGCTGTGGTATCCTGCTTGACAAAGAAGGTATGGCAGACCTCTGTTGGATCATGTTGGATGAAATGTTTGTATCATCAAAATCTGGGCAAGAGCTCAATTTACAACTACCAGCAGCTAAATGCCTACAGAGTAGCATAATCAAAGAGAGTGCTTTTACTAAATAAATATGGTTCTTCTCACTGAAAGAAGTCAAGCAACCATATTGGCTCTGACTTCTTTAAAGTCTTGAAATACACATGATTTTGTTGTACAAAGTGAATTTTCATGGAGTCCTAACCAGACCTTTCTCTTCCAAGAGATCTGGAAAACAAACTAAACTGACCCCTGAACCAGACACTACAGAGCCCTGCAGATACGAATTTGAATGGTGATGTTTTGGAATATGAGTTTAGTTATGGAGCCAGCTATTCAGGAGTGGGAAAAACCTGTCCCTGAAACTGAACAATCCTGAACTTTAAGGTACTGAAATCTTGCAAACGGGGTTATAGGTTAGTTTTCCTGAAATACCTTTGTAATATAATGTCACACTTAAACATGATGGCTAAATGATCCTATTCCGTGTTGCTTTCTGACATGCTAAGAAAAATGCTATATATAAAGTACTTGGCACCTGATCCTTAAGAAAGGAGAAGAGACTTCTGCTCTCCCAGCAGAAGAGACAGAGCCATGCCAGGGTGATGCAGGTGAGTTTCTCAGTGTGGAGGCAGAGCTGAGTGCAGGCACAGATGTGGCCAAGGCAAGACATGTCCATGATCCAGGGGGACTGCAGCTTTGGAGACTTTGGAGCAACTTGGACTGCAGTGTTCTGTGGCTCTGGCAGGGTATAATCCTGCCTCATTCTTGCAGTCCTGCACATGTTGAGATACTGGTATATAGAGTTAGCTCCTCAAAGATCTGGCCTGACCTTAAGAGTGCTGACATCTCTTTTAACTTATATGGAGCCTACCAAAAGCTTTCTAATGCCTCTGTGGACCTTTGGTTGGAATTCCAACAGCTGGATGGAGCTTCCACCTCCCACACCTGCCTAAGAGGATCAGTAAGATGCATTCTGTTAATTTCCAAATTGTAAAGGAAAAGACTTGTTTGGGAATTTATTTCTTATTACTAGCCAATTTTGTGTAATCATCACATTTCTCCTTCATTGTTCTTTCAACAAAGTTCAAAACCCTTGCTACTGCTAGTGAGAGCAGAAATGAAAAACATTGGATCTTTCAAAGCCCGATCAAGTTTGTGTATCTCTTTTCCTGCTAGGTTTGGGATAAATCTTTCCACCCAATAGGAAGTTCATTTGTTTTAACTTTCTGTCTCGAGGAGCCAATCGTCAAACTTCCCCCAGTGCCCACAAATTCAGCTGTCATTAGTCCTTTCTTCTGAAATGACTAATTTCCATCACTCCATGTCATCCATGAATGGGAAAGTAATCAGCACCATTTAGAGAGAAAAACCACTTGAGCTCCAGGATCCTTTTCTCCTTGTTGGCTGATTGTGATTTCATATCTTTTATGTAAAGCAGACTTTCAGAGCTGTTACCTATTTAAGGAATTTTTCAATTAACATTTTTTTTCTTCAAGAGTGACCAGGGCCTTTCGATTCCACCACAAAGGATTGGCTTACTTTTCATATAACAGTGTGCTCAGCTCAGTTCCTTCATCCTGAAGGTCTTTTATTTGGCAGTGATAATTTGGTTTAAACCCTCACCAATCAATAGCTGATCAATGCACAGCAGGAGAGGATTTCTATTGAAAAACCATTATACTTCAAGGGACTAAAATTTCTCATTTGAACAAAAAGTGCTCCAGCCTTATTCAAAATCTGTCTAATTGGCTCTTGGTTAAAAACAAAAATAAGCCTAAAAGGGAAGAAAGTTCCATATGGACATTGAGGAGAGACCGAGGTTAAGGGCTGGTCCTGAAAGGTAATGAGAACCTTTAGTTTTTGAAGAACTCGGTTTTTCAGGACTTGCCAAGGTTGGGCTCTAATGTTAAAGTGCATTTTATGAAGAAGGTCATATTTATTTGCAAATGTTTGCACTGGGCTTGATTTTCTTTGAATGTGAATTATATTATTTCCAAACAAGAAATTCTTCAAAGTGCATAGTTTTTCTGCCTTCACAGGACTGGGTAAAATCAAATCCCAAGCAGTAGGTGTAATCCATTATTTACCCATCTGTTAGCTGGTTCTTCTATCCAGGGAATATCATAATCATGGGGTGTAGATATTGTAAAGCTGGCTTCAGCACTAACTGTTACATAGAGGCTTGTGCTTTCCTGCAGAATGATCCTCAGCTTTCACCTGTGCTGTGGACCTGACCTAATGCAACTGACCTTGTGGAGAGCTTTGTCACTGCTTTCTGTGTCATATTTCTGTGTCCAGCCAAGATTGCAGGACCACACTGATAAGGTCTTAAAACCACTTTTAGGGCTGCTCTGCAAAACTTCCATTGCGGATTCCTCTTTTAGTAGGCCCTGGCTGGATTCTGGTCTATTTTCCTGCAATTTGTCTGCATCTCACTTCTGCTCCTTCTTCTGCTCGTTCTCTTTGCTGTCTCAAGCAGATGAGGCAAGAGAGAGCTGTTTCCCCCACAGCTGCAAAAAAGTGGACTCCTGCAAAGCAAACAACAGTATCTGTGCCCCAGCTGAGTGACCGCTGCCACAGAGCAGTAGTGGCTGCCTGGTGTCATCAGAAGGAACAGGAGCACCATGCATTCACCTGTGCAGGTGGGGAGCCGAGGAAGCCTGCTGAGTGCCACCTGGCCTTTCCCTGCTGCCTCTGTTGCCAGAAGTGAAGTCCAGCCCTGTGCAGAGGATACAGCACTGCGTCCCCCTGCCACTTGATTCCTCCTCAATCCCCGTGTGCAAGGGTTGCACTCCATTAGCCACATAGGTCTTTGTCCTGGCCTTCTGCACTGACTTGTCTTATTTTTTCTATCATCCCACTTAGATGTCAACAGATGAAATAGCTTCCTGGGTGCCTGTGATTTAATACAGTGAGAAAATACAAACGGTGATACTTGATTAATAACTCACATCCCTCCCTCACAATGCACTGTTTTCTAATCCATGGTTGTTTCAAACAATAGAGAAAGAAAGCATGGCCACATGGGAGCTGTTATGTTCTTGCATGAAGGTAGAATTGAAGAAGCTAGTCCTAGAAAGCATTTTTTCTAATTCTCAGGCTACATATTTTTATTTTCAAAGCTTTTTAAACATGATGAAAACCCCAAATCGTTGTCAGAATGGTCTGACTCTGCAAGATTCTTCTCCAGTATTTCTTATCAGAACTATAATTGATTTTTTTTTAGACCAACCACAATGGGTTTTCTCAGTCGAAAATAACTTTTCATCCAACAATTTTTTTGAATTTGGAATTATAAAAATCTACCTTCAGCTAAAAACTTTGTAAAAATTTTGATACAAAAAAGAATATCTGAAAAATATCCTAGCAAAATGGGCCAGAAGATATCTACTGAAAATTCTGTAAACCAAACCCAGTTTTGATTTGCATTCCTATTTAGTAAAATCATTTTCCCAAGTTTTGGTCACTTCTGCTTGAGAAATGTAAAGTGGATAGATTGAATCTTAGAATCTAGAAGTGAAGAAAACCTTTGATGTCATTTTGTTCTTCTTTTTGTGGGAGACAGAGAATTTTTTCCTCTTCCTGCCCTGTATCTTCCTATAGTAGGCTTTCTCCCAGCCAGGACAATTTTTCACAGAAGTAATTATGGACGTTAAAAAGATATAAAATCTTTATGAGTGCTATCAATTTCACTTTGGCTAATAAAATAAAAGATAAAGGGAGCTAAGGCACTCCCTCTGCAGCATTAAAAATACTCAGGAAAGTAAAGACATTGAGATCGGTTTTATTTCAGTTCATTTCAATCAGTTTACCTCTCTTTGAAATATTTCATTTTCTATGTCTACTTAAGACTGCTGACCAGGATCATCCCTCAGTGTTTTAGTGAGGGGGCTATCCCTGCAAAGGCACTCTAAATTAGATGAGCATTTTAATGGGAATGAATGCAATGATCAGTATGCTTCCTGTAGATTTTTTTTTCCCACTGAAATCTGTGTAGGTGGCTGGAAAATCTTTTTAAAAGAAATGATCACAGAACAAATTGTTAGAATAAGTGTGTTGTAACATGGTTTCACTGGAGAAACCCCGTTTCCCCTGTATGATACAGCACATAGCTGTGCTCCACGGACACAAGTAGGTTTCTGGCCATCCTACTTCCCCTCCTCAGCATTGTTTGAGGTTCTTTGTCAAGACGCCTTCCTCCAAAGCTGCCTCCCCTGGGACAGGGGCTCTTGGCTGCCTTTGAGAGGTGACCTGATCAGCTACCAGTCCCAGCTTTGCAGCTCCGCAGCATTGTCCCTCACAGCCCCATGCCCGCTGCCAACAACCTTCACTTCTGCTACACGGAAGCTATGGTAGGAATGTCTAGTTGAATGTAAAAAAACCCACTCCATACTCCAAAAGGTCCAGAAAAACATCTTGTTATTCATTAAGGACGTGCTTCTCTGCTGCTTCACTTAGGGGAAGTAGTACAAGTAATCACAAGTAAGTGGGTTGCTCTGGTGAACAAGAATGACTTGCATGGGAGGGTTTGCAGTAACATAACCTCGGGTTTGGTCCCCTTTACACTGGTTTAGCTCCAGGGTAATACTATACTAGTACTTAATTTGGTTTGGTTTTAATTAGCAATGGACATCAAGTATTTCTATTGCTCTAAATTCAAGTAAGTGTCATGTACACAAACAGCCACTCCCATACCAAATGCTGTCAACTATTTTTTCTTCTGAAATCATTTCTTATTGAGTTGCCTCCCTGCACTCAGTTTTGTAACGACTGGTAGTGTTCCATGTGGCACAAGTTGCTGATGTGAAAGGTGAGGCCCTGCAGATCCCCTTACAGAAAGGTTCTTGCAATCTGCTTTCTCTGAAGCTACGGGTAAGTCCTAGCTGTGAGATCCACACCAGACTCGCTACCCAAACCTGCACTTCCTTTGTGCAGTGGTGCAGTTCATATTCCCCTCCCCTAGTATGGCCTGACCCAGAGATGTATTTAGGTTCTTCAGTGTGGAGTTAATACCCCAGCTTTCATGCCAGAAACATCTTCATGAAAGGCATCCCTTAAATGTCATCAAACAAACTTTAGGTAAAATGAGGAAGTATGGGAAATCTCAGAAGGGATCCTGTTTTCAGACTTCCAGATCCGCCCTCAGATCCTCTTGGAGGATATGGATCCAAATAACAGTGGTATAATAATAACAGCAACAGAAATAACAGTTGCGTATGATGCCTGCTTTTCAGTAATATACTCAGGAAATCACACTATAACACTGGTTCTTGAGCAGCTTTTGAAGGAAGCGAGGCTTCACAGGCTGTCATTTTAGTACTCTCGCTCTTCCATGCCACTTCCTCACCCATTAGATGAGATTTATATTGTAGGCAGATGTTTTGCTTTCTTTTACAGAAAAGCTGAGTGCCCTCATTTCTTCCTTTCAGTTTGCTGATTTAGCAGCAATCTGGTAAAGCTGCTGACATTTCCAGGAATGTAATCTTCCATATCGATATAAAATGGTGACTCTTAACTTTGTATTAAGCTTTCTGTACATTTAAAAAAATCCAAGGGATTAGTCTAAGCATCTCCAATGGGCAATAAAAAATAGATAAACAAGCATAAGGGAGAGCATTTATTTTGACAAGACAAAGTTTTGGCACCTTTACCCACGCTCCCTGATCCCTTTTGCTGAGCACTGACTTCAGCAGGCCTGGGACAAGGTACTATTCAAGAGGGTGAACTCAAAGCCCTTACTTTAGCCCTGAGTAGTTAAAATCCGAAAAGGTGCATTGTGCTAGTAGTCCTTTCATAACCCCTGCCTCTTTAATGATAGCCATTTCTCCTTATTGAGCCCTTTCTATTCCTTTTCTTCTCTGTTCCTCTCACCTCCTTTTAAGGCCTCCTTTGAGCAGTGCTGTGCCTCTTGTTTTTCTTTTCCTTTGCCTGCTTCCTCCCTCTTATTTGTTTAAACCATTCCCTTGTTCATCTGCTCTCATTTTCTTTCTGCCTCTAGCTCCCCCCCATTCAGTGTTATTCTCCGTTGTTTTTTTCTGTGTGGGTGTGAGCACATTATCCTGCCTTATCAGCTCTCTGGCCCTTTCTCTACAACATCTGAGTGGATGCTGGAATGATCTTTAGCCAGAATCTCCCTAGGGGTCTCAGTCCTAGGCTCCAGAGCTTCTGAAATGAGATGGAAAAAGAGAGACACCCTGGCAGCAGCTTGTCCCTAATGGCCAGATGGCCAGCACTCACATTAATACAATATCAGGCATTGCTGTAGTTCTGCCTTGGAAACTGCTTGCCTGTGCTGGCATCTTCTCACACTCCTCTGACAGCCATGCCAGTCGCAGCACCCTCTTGGGAAAAGAAATGGAAATGACCACATAAATACTTGGAATTCAAGTCACTGTGCAACAAGAATAATCTAATATTTTCATGCGTGAATGTTTACATTATCCCCTCCCCCTGCACACTCCCCCCTCCGTCCCCCTCCACTTCCATTATACATTGTCCTTTCCTGTATGTTTTGCTGATATTGAATTCAGCTCCCTTGCAGCCTGGGACTGATGTTTTTGAATTTACCCTAGCTTTCATGTGTACATCCTTTCACACTGTGCTTTGTCGGGTGGGAGACCAGAAAGCAATTACACGTCAGGACTGGAAGCAGCCAACTATCTACAAAGGAACAATCGGTTGTTAATGTTTGGCTATGGTTAGATGGAGGAACAAGCAGGCTGAGCATTTTTTTCTTACTCTTTTTTTTTTTTTTTTTTTATGACCTTGTAATACTATGGGACTTTGCTTTGTGTCATGCCATTCCCAGAAAAATACGGATGTGAAACAGAATGTTTTGTGGCCAGTGGCAGGATCAGAGTGCATTTTGCGCTCAAAACCATTCTTCCTTCTCTCACCAGGATTGTATTATTCAGTCTACCTCCATTGCCAGAGTTTCCCCTCTGAGTCTAGCTTCCCTAAAATTGCGCAGAGCATGATGCAGTGTGAGCAAGGGCTGCCTGTAGGGGTCTTATTCCTGGCCTCTGACAGGGTCCTATGTGGTTCAGCTTTGGCTGTTGTGAGCTCAGACTTGGCCTGCTGTACAGAAAGATGTGTTCGGTTGGTTGGTGTCACTTGAACATTCAAGCTGTAGTTGCTCACCTTGGTGTGGCTGCTTGTCTGTGTCCAGGAAGCTCCAACCCATGTGCCAAAGGAGAAGTTCCCTCCCTGTGTGGGATCGTTGTCTCCTCCTGTGGATGCCAGATCTTCCTGCATTCACATGTTGGGATGGACGGGCAGCTTGAATGTGTAGGAGCATCTAACATCTCAGTGCAGTGTCAAAGCAGAGAGGTGAAATGTGAGGCACATACTTATTCTTTCAGATGAACTGTGTGTGGAATCTCTCACTCTCATTGGTAAGGAATGGCTTGCCAGCCCAATTCTGCTGTGGTGGCTCAGGTGGACATTCCCTTACTGGTGTGAATAGGGGCACCACCCAGAGCTGTGTGTGCAGCTTTGTTTGCTTTTTAACCTCTGCTTGTCTCTTGCTTGTCTGTCTTCCTTACAGCTTTCTAATCTTCCCTGGTTTTCTTTACTTGGAGTGGAAAGGGGAGGGAGACATAATCCTATACCACTTCCTTTTTTTTTCTGTAGCCTAACCCTTGCTTGTTTAGGATCTGACCCTGTTCCCATTGTAGTAAATCCTGAAACTCTCATCAAGTTCAGTGAAAGCAAGAGTAGGCTCTTAAACCATTACTATTATTAATCTCATTACAATGATGCTAATTACTATGGCTATGACTACTATGTCTACTACAGCTATTACTAGTATTGCTAGTATATCGCTATTACTACTAATAATATGATTTATTACCTATTTCTTTTCTTCTTTAGAGCATTTTGTAAAGGCTGAGAGGAACATAAGCGGCTTCAGGGATTTCCAATTCCTGGCTGGAAGACAGAAATTATTTTGGTGGGAACCTTTAGCCAGGAAATTACCTCTTATGCTAAAAGAGGCAACAGCATTTAGTTGAGTTTACATGTAGGAAGTGAACAATGGCTGGTGTTAAAAAAGAAGGAGACTGAAACAAATGGAGCTTGGCAGATCTGACTCAGCTTTGTCAGAGACATTTATGAGCCCCTCAAGTGGCTTGGACTTTGCAGGTCTAACCAGACAGTGCTACCTTTAGACTTAGGGAGACGTAATGAGTGGGGAAGGCAGGTGCACAGAGGGTTAGCAAATATTTGTCAGCAAACAGGGTTGGCATTGGCACACAAGTCTGAGTGGGGCTTCATTA